GCGAACGGCAAGGGTCTGTTACCGAGGAGCGAATAGGTTGAAGTTTGAACCAGTGCGTCACTGTGGACCGAGTGGTACTCCCATTCCCAAAGTCAAAGAAGCCCATTCCCATTTCCATTCAAAGTCCCATTCACGAAGTCTAGAAAAGAGCAGCCACGGTAAACGCTATAGGGGTTAAATCAGAGCTACAGTTTAACGTTTAGTTGAATTCGCGGGATATCAGCTTAATGTTCGTTTATTATTTTGTGTAAGCAGTGCTTCAAGTTTTCGTAACATTTATCATACACGTATTTTGAGAAATCAGTGTGTTGCAAACGTTACAGAACACACCAGTTGGTAAAACTAGGGCTAGTTAAATGCATTACTTTCATAAACGTAAGCAGGTAGTCTGGTGAGATTCTTAACACAGGAGCGGCTACGTTAGGCCGCAAATCTGAGCTATTCAGAAAGACTTCGAGAAAACTGGCATTACTGACCAAACCGTACGCGTCTCATCTAACAGTTAGTAAAAGCAAGAAAGTTAGCATACTCACTGCAATGCCTAACCGCTAAACAAAAGGAATGATGCACTTGTCTCTACCGAAACTGGCTTTAAGTCCAAGACAGGGCCGCTTTTCCGAAAGCCCCTTTTACTGACTGACCCCTATCTGCTATAGCTGTAGCTATAGCAGACTGCCATTTGTGGAGGCCAGAGTTGCTATAGTAACCAGCCAGGTATGATCAGCGACGCAAACGGTGCGGCAACGGTGTGACAGTGCACGGGCATGAAGGGGGATATCTGACCAGTCCTGCCTGGCACAGGCGGAGATCCTGGACATTATGAAGGCCAGGTGGCCTGCATGTGCCACCATCGATGATAAGTCTGCCATTCATATCAAGATGATGTACATCTAATTTTGAACGGAAACCTTGTGCCTCGAATTTATTCACAAGAGCTCGTATTATTGTACTTTAAATGGCGCTTGCGACAAATTCTTTCACCGAACGCCTCACTCTGCACGATATAAAGCATGAGCTGTTAAGCGATTTTACCCTGGCCTATCCACCTGCAGCCAAACATATGCCCAGCTACATGTTTGGAAACGCATTTTGTACTGGATTCGAGTGTTCGAGTGCTCCCATCATCACGGTACGTATTTCGAGAAACATCGCTGCTGGTATAATCGCGATCAGGCGGGGTCGATTCCGCGCACGAGGTAATGCAAGCTCCTCAGCAATGTCAAGGCCCAACCGAACCGCAGTGCGGCAAACCGGTTAGAGTCTTTCAAACATTTGTTCTGCGACTGGCACCCGACCAGCTCTCTCGTGGCGCCAGTGACATTGGAAGAGCGGAAACGTGCTGTTTACGGCTTTGGCCACGTTTTGCACCACAAATTGAATGAATGCGCTGTATCACAGTGTGATTTTGTGACCAAACTGACGTGGAAGAAGATGCTAAACTGCATTATGAACCTCTAATAAAAAACACCGGAAGATCAGCCTTCATTCCAGCGCCTCTGTGTGACGACCTCCAAAGGTGACCCACTCTTTAGCCAACACTCAGCACGTGGCATACAGTAACGAAGTGTCTTGTATTAAAAAGGCTGCGATCTGAAAACTAACGGTCATCCAGCGACACAATCCGGCAAAAATGACAAGCGCTCGCCTGGCGAGTCGGGTGGCATACCTGGGCGTTGGCTTCGATGACGGAGGCAGCAAGCTCGATCTAACATGCGCGAATATGTACGCACACACGCCGAGCCGAAAACCACCTGTGCTTACCACTTGAAATGAAAAATACAGCACAAGATCACCACAGCCCTCTAAAACAGCGCAGAGATTGAGGAGCGTCTGCCCAGTATCCCAAGACGTAAACAGAGATGTGTTTGTCAATCCGGCTGGCTTACAGATCCGATGAGCCCTTGACCAAGTCTCGCTCACGAGCAAACAAACCAGCAGCCAGCAACCGCGCGCTCGCTTTGAGGAGATTGACCTTTTCAGCTGGCTGCGTGGGGTCACGGCGCTAAGGCACGCTCACAACAGACAAGCTGGCAGACAAGGCCGCGGGCGGCGACAGAGCATGACCGAACACGGACACGGCCAACGCAAAATACGTAACGCTTGCATCAGGGATCTTAACATTCACCGTGATCGTGGTCTTACTCTATGGGCGCAACAAACAACGAATGACGAGAGCGGGGGGGGGGGGGGGGGGAAGGGGAGGGGCAAGTTCGGCATATCAGGCCAGTAGCGTCGTTGTTGCCGTGGATTCGCCATCATGTTTTTCTCTGACGTTAGATGAGCAACACCACGCACCAACGATACCACCAATGTAACTATACGAAGGTGAGGGCAATCATGGCGTAAACCGCTGTCTGGAAGACCGGGTGGGAGCTGTAGGGAAACAAACAAGATCTAAATGCATAAGGGACCATATTAATCACCATTGCTTACCCACGTGCATCCCTGGGGAATGATCTAGCTCGTGTACCTTATCCAAGACATCATCATAGCCATCACATTACAATCATTCTTACGGGGATAAATCATTGCCTTTGGGTGGAGAGACAGGGCACGCTGGAATAAAAAGCCACTCGTCTTGCATCTATTCTTCACAATCGGAAGAGCGGCAACTGTTCGATACCCCTTTTCTGAAGCAAAACACCACGAAATACCGGCAACACATTGGCCATTTGCGTGTTAGACGACAACGGATCGCCCATATCTCAATGGTTGCTCTTAAGCGTCTAAACAACGGCTGCGTTAATTGATTCAGTTTACATATAGTTGATGCCGTTGACAACCCAACCCATTATCTCTCAGCTGACATCTGGGTAGCGTCGCAATGTCCACCGGCCACTGGGGTCCGTGTCGGCCCTGACTGGTCCAGACACTGCGGCTCATTTGAACTGCTCCAGAGGGGCGGATCTCACGTGAGTGCTCGGTGGAGAATGTGATCTACAAAACATCGCACAAAACACGTTCCGCGAGAACAATTCGAAGATAAGAGTACTTTTCACGGAAAAGGCCACGTGGAAACCCCGACACTAAGCTTCTCTCTGAGCATCTGACAGGCTTAACCAGCTAAGCCTGCAACTACGCCATTAAACTTAAGAAGCCGCATTTGAGTGAGTTCGAAATCTTCACTGACGGTGGGTTCTAGGCATTGGCATCTCCAACCCCCTTTGCATGCACGCCTATCCACCTCCAAAAAAAAATTATCGCGGCACGTGACTGGCCACATAGGTTGTGCGCTAGCACGCCGCCAGGCGAACAATAGCGCGCACATGTTGCCACGCTCTTCTGAATGATTGAATTCCTACACTGTCTTCTTCCACCATCTGCCCTTAACCATTACGTGATGTCTGACACATTCGCGTTACGGCGCCGGGAGCTCAGCTCAATGGTGCTGGGAGCTCAATGGCGCCGGGCCCAATGGCGCCGGGACCGCAATGGCGCCGGGACCTCAATGGCGCCGGGACCTCATGGCGCCGGGACCTAAATGGCGCCGGGACCTCAATGGTGCCGGGACCTCAATGGCGCCGGGACCTCAATGGCGCCGGACCTCAATGGCGCCGGGACCTCAATGGCGCCGGGACCTCAATGGCGCCGGGACATGGCGCCGGACCTCAATGGATGCCGGGACCTCAATGGTGCCGGGACCTCAATGGGGACCTCAATGGCCGCCGGGACCTCAATGGTGCCGGGATCCTCAATGGCCCCGCCGGGACCTCAATGGTGCCGGGACCTCAATGGCGCCGGGACCGCAATGGCGCCGGGACCTCAATCAGGTGACGAGAGTTCGCTTCATTGGGCAACCAGCCCCCCCCCCCCCCCACCGTCACTAGGGGTTAGAGTCCCAGCCACGCCGACCATACGAGTAGCTGATAGCTGGCTAGTGAAGGGGCACATCCTCAGCAAAACAAAAAGACTAGCACCATGTCGCCCTTTCCAGGCTTGATTCTCACTTCACGCGCTGCGTCGCCGGCTCCGGTAGCCGGTCGGCGTCCAGGACTTCCGACCGTTCTCACCCAGTTCTCTTACCCGTTCTCATTCAGCGCCCGACGGCCCCTGACCAAAGCCCGAGTGCACTGCGTCTGTCGCTGGCTTCGAGACGCGGTGGGCGGACCGCCCGCGCAGGGGCGTCAACTTTTTACGAGGGCAAGTAGATCTAGCGGTGCGTGGCATCATGGATTCTCTGGTTTTCTATGAGGAGCCTCCTCTTTGGCTAGCAGGGCTTGCGTGTTTTGATTGCGCCTTCTATGCATGATGGAGTTTCCTTTGGGTCACCTGGGCCTCCTGTCGACCAATAGGGCTTGATGCTGGCAATTTTGGACCTCACAGGGTGACACCTTGTCTCCTGCGTGCCTCAAGAGTCCCCCCCCCCCCTTTAATTTTATGGGACTTTGTCTAGGCCACTTGGGACCTTCTGATGGTATGGTGGGTCATGATGAAGCGGCAGGGGAGGCAAGAAGATATGTTTGCTTCCTTGGCGAAGAGCAAAGGGCGTATGTCCCCTTACCACTCTGGTGCACCATCACGGATCCTCCACGCCGCCGAGACAGCTGAATCCGACGTAATCTGCCACCGTTATGCTATCGTGAAAAGGTCGCGAAGTATGTCTGGAGGCCAATATAGTGAGTGTGACCGGGGTAACAGTCACAAGCAGCCAGCGGTGAATTTGAGGGGCGGGGGCGAAGTATCATGCCCTCTGCATACAATGTTCACATAAATAAATATCCATGTGACTACATGTCGACAACACACAGCTAAGTTACACACCCACGAATGAGTATAATGGACACGTGCGATATCACTTACGCGATGTTAGAAATGTAACGCTACGACAGATACCAGATAGTTTTTAAGTACGAAATTTTGGTTGCGTCCTCATTACAAAATCCTTCATACTCCCCTGCAAGACACGTTCCAATTCACACCACCGTTGTAATAGAACGTCGCTGCGCAAAGTGCTTGACAATGAGGAGGATGCAGCGGTGTTTATGCCGAGTTATACTCACTTGGATTGGTGGGAATTGGGGGTGTGGCCATGCCGTGGCCCATCCATTCCGACCAGAGGTTCCCGACTCAGCGACTGCAACAGAACACAGGTTTGAAAAACACATGATCTTATAATAATGTTTTTACAGTAGGTTTCACAACGGGGGCGTAAACGTGGGAAACGGATGGATATGCGCGCACGAACAACGAATACTCAATGCTGCCCTGCTCCATGCGCACTGGCGGATGCCCACGACGGCTCAGTATGATATCATAGGTGTATAAACCATCTGCACAATAGCGAATGATGACGATGAGTATGTTAGTAAAAGCTTGGCAAAACCCCTTTTTGCGTTGGAAACGGGGGTAATTGCCGAAAGCGAATTGGTAGGGAGACATTGTTGAGGGCTGGCAAGTAACATTGCAAAAGCTACATCCAGTCCCTTCCATCGGTATGTCATCAAAACGTGGGCTTCGAGAAGTGACGAATTGCTGCAGGGCATACGCATAAATACAAGATCCGATGCGGCAAAGCAAATCTAAAATCTGTGTCGTCTCGGCATGACTTACAGTGACTATTGCGTCACCATAGATAACCAAGCCATATGAAGAATACTTTCTACGATGTCCAAACAGCATAACTCGGTCGAAAAATTTCAAGAAGCTATGTGGTTAAAAGCTTTAAAATTGTTGCATTTAAATGTAGTAATTTTTCATTTGAACATAACAAAACTATCCATACATACAAAACTTGCAGCCAGAGCAACCAGAAATTCATTTATGTGTTCAAAAAGGAGAGAAAACCCATTCAAACATACACAGGATCTTTGCGCTGTCATGGCATCACATATGCAACGTGGGAACACCCTACGATCCCCAAAGTCGCTACGCAAAGTATATATTGCATTGCTAGTCGTCTCATGCGCTGTGCGAGTGGATGAAATATTGGGAAGATAACACAAGCCCCTGCTGGCCTTGATCAATAGGGCACTTTTGAGTTCCGAACAACCTTGGTAATAGCCGGTGTCGCCTTGTTTGCCGGTGCGTTTGTGAGAAGTCTGGCAGCAGGTGACGGCCAGAGTCAGATCATTTGCCAAGCCCAATGTTTAGTTCATACAAGGTTAGGCAAGCAAAGCACCTGTCATTGCTTGTACGCTGCCGATGTCACCACAGATGCCAGCGATGCAAATGTCATAATCACCCAGTTTAAAGTATCTGACCGTGCCGTGACTGAATATCTTTGTCATTGTTGTTAAACTCCGGAAAGCAACATCGACGAGCGTATTTTCTTAGTTCCTTTGGGTATGTATTCCATATTTCCCTCATCACAGTACTGCGTAACAACTGGGGGCACTGCACGCGTGACCATATTTTTGCGAGTGGAATGCAAACGATTGAAGTGGCTTTAAAAAAGGTATCCGTTATTGCAATGCAGAACATTTCTTGTCGGTGTAAAAAGGAGCCGCAATGTAAACAGCGGTCTCGTGCCGTATCTACTTCATACCACGCCGTGCCTAAGTGTTGCTAACGAAATATTGGTCCGAGTCAGACTAGACGCAGTGCAATGTCGGCAGTGGCAAGTGTAAGGCAATTGTCAAGACCCATTTTTCCACCTTTTTCCCCCCCTCCCTACCCACGCAATGAATGCGAACGTCAAAAATCATGCCTCCAACCAGGCTTCTGATCTTCACTCATCCACTGGCCTTAATGTCTTGTAGGTCTGGCAACTACTAATGATAAAAGCCTTGAACATTTTAGGCCTTTCTTCCCATATCTGTCAATTTTCTCCACTTCCATATACTGTTGGGAACATAATTCGGTCATGAAAAACACATGCCCTCATTGGCATGAACACGTATTGCAGAAGCAGCATGCACCTACGACTACCCGTATTTCATTTTTTTGTTAAAAAAGCAATTCCTAAACCCTGTAAGGATACATGTGCTGTGCTGCTCACGAGTTCTGGCTATTGAACTAGATTTTGTTCACCAAGGAAGTCCGAGACTTGGCAGCCAGTGGGCGCTCCAGTCCGGAGAGCTTTACTGCGCTGTAGACTCTCTTGTTTTTACTTTGTAAATGTTATTAGATGCACTACTTTTATTTGAGATAAATTCGTCTCATCACTTAAATATGCGTTAAACTGACCACCAGGAATTCCTTCATAATGGCGTTTGACAGGTAACGAAAGGTTTATACTTTCTTGCTGTTCAGGACGAGACCAATTTAAAAGAAGCCTAAAACAATTTTGTTACCCATATAATATGCGATGAATTTTGAGATACAAACCAATGAACCCCGACGCTTCAGGAACAGCTTTTCAGTGCACTTAAAACCATGGGAAGAATTTCATGGGAAGAAAGTTTGACACGCTAAGGCCCTAATAGCCATTTCAGAAATCAGTCGGATTTTCGACTCAGAACCAAATCGACCATTATTTGAAGACAATGTTCGCAAGCACTTCGATTTCGGTTTGGCCATACTTTTGAAATTGGTCGCATCACTCATACATCACTTTTTTCTATATTTATGTCTGCTCAACGTATGCCCCTCATCCTAACAATTGCAGTTCTTTCCAATCCGTCATGCCATGTCAAAATGTTTGTGACATTGCTGATAAACGACGGAGTCGAACAGTGCTTACGTCAACTACACATTGCAGCGAGGTCGCAAGGTCATGCAGGAGAGACTCGCACAGGGATACTGGCTAGCCGTCATCAAAGACACCATCACAGACCACGACAAGTCGGTTCCGATGTGTGCTGAAACCCCCATGTGCAATAGGAGTCCCGTCTAAGAATCTCGGTGAAAAATTTGGCTTTGCCGAATTTTGCTTAAGACTGGGCACAGTGGTTTTTGACAGTCTCTGTTTTGCCTTTCATTTGGTAGATGTATCACTTTTACCAAATGTATCACCTCAGCATGCCTCCCGGATGTATCGCTTACATTGCTGCTTGCCAATGGCAACGTGGTATTCTCTTTTCACTGACACTTAACATTTTGCCGCCAAAATTGTTAAATACATGTGTGCGGTAGCAATGTCAGTGCGTTGCGCTTTCAGGTATGTTTGGCACCTCTAAAGCCCGTCTGCATTCCGATAATATACTTAATGCCAGGCCACAGCGCTCCGGTCATGAGACATCATCATAATTAAAGTTCCAATATATCGGTATACCTAGGTACAAAGGGCGTGTTTTGAATCTGTCTGAGCCTGCAATGCCGTACAATTAGAGTAGACTGCTGGTCGGCGACATCCTTTTTACCATATCACACTGCAACCAGTTCAAGCGAACATTCCTTGTGAGCGAGCGAAGCTGCTCATACATTTCTCCCCACTCTAGGGGAATAGATATCTCAGGCTGCCACTTATCATGGTCCTGTCCGTCGACGGCTTTTAGAAGTTCTTTGATGGAGAGCTTTGACACGGCCATTTTACAGCTGTGGTTCTACGCAACATCATATATATATATATATATATATATATATATATATATATATATATATCAAGGTTCTGAGGCTCTTTGGGGTTTTCAGTCTTAATGTCTCCGAGCAATCGGAGACACAAAGGCTGTCTCCAAGCTATTGGTGTGCAGTGTCTGATTGATTGCGCTGACAAAGTATAAACGTTGTTTCCATTTCCAATTTATGGCGCTGATAGGATTTTCAGGGCAGTAGAGCTGTATACATCTTGTAACACGACTGCTCTTCTGGACTAACCCTTTTTTGTCCAAGGACCCAGTTGATTCCAGGTGAAAGTGTCCCTTTTGCACAAGTCCTGATTAAATATTGTTTCTAGCTCTTATTTTCCATTCAATTTTACCCGGTTCCACATTTCGCAGATCTGTTCCCAAAACAGGTTTGGTTCTGTTCTTTCACGTGATAGGGTTTCCACAGCAGCGAGACAACAATTTTCACTTTTCAATGAGACGGCAGATCGCATACTTTTTTCCACTTTTCTCGACTGTCATCATCGAGGCAGGAACGTCCAGAAATTTTTGAACACATGGTTTGAGGCTTCCAGCTTGCGTAATTGCATTTGACACCATTAAACCACCATCTTGGTATTTACTTTCCAGTGTCAGACTTTTAACTTCCTTAAAGCACCTCCAAAAAAGAGATTTCATCTTGGAAAATCATGTAGTTTTCATCTACGCAAAGATGGTGTATTTGATGTGACTTTGTTTAATTTGTCACGTCAAAGTATGGGCAGCGTGTCACTTTTTCACCAGTGTTCTGAGAAGAAATGTGTGTGCACTGCCAACACTGGCTCGCCTTTCGCGCCCGTTTTATATATGCATCTTTCGACCCTGTGAGCAAAGTCCATGACCTAAAATTCATTAAAAATATGTCTCACTTAGCGACTCAAGGTATAAAGGTACCTAATTTTTGTAAGGAGCATACACTACTTAGCATATAATACTTTGCGCAAACATTAACCCGTCTAAGAGCCAGCAAATTCAACCACGCGCGTTTGGGTGGAATGATTTCACACACTACCGTTTAAGTGACGGTGCTGCAGTGTACACCTGTCACGCCGTCCCAATGGCGGAGCGACACGCCACCGTACGCAGACAGTCCGTACGTAAGCAGCCCGGCATCCCGCTCCCGCCGCAGGGTGCCGTATTCTCTGCACATGTTTCTGTTCAGGTTCGCTGTCTGGCTGCGGAATATTGTTTTGCTGTAGACGCTAACCTGCCAAGTGCCAATGGATACGGCGCCCTCCGCTGTCGCTTGTCACTGTCGAGGGGTTTGCTTTCCTGCGCGGTCTTCGGCAACTCTGCGGCTCAGTACGCCACCTCACCCTCTGCACCCATCAGGGAGGCAGGCCTCCGACCTTCGCAGGACCTCCCGTCTGTATTCGGCCTGTGCGGTGCGGTGCGGCGCCGCGAAACATACGAAATACATCGAAACATACAAAAGCTGACGCCAACCGGCCATTCTCGTCGCGGAGGCCGTGTCAGGGGGCCGCATTGGTGGGTGAGTTATTTGTGGATTTTTTTGTATTGGTGCTGGCCGTAAGAGAAGCTTTGGCGGACTGTTTGACATGTGCAACGTGGCGACCAGCAGCTTTTGGGGCAGATTATTGATGTCAAAGCA